ATAGCAAACAATTTTATTTTTATTATACTAAGATTTTGGTATTGACTATATCGATATGCGTATGAAAATTCTGGAACAATCCAGAACAATTCATGACAGTTGGTGTTGATCTTAAACAGCCTAGAACAATTTGCTTCTGCTCAATTTTGCACCTCGCTCATCCCGCATGCTAATTAGGCCCATGCATAGAAAACACGAGAAAATTACGTACAACAAACATTTTAGAAAAATGAAGAATTTTGAAGAACTTGTGAAAACGAGTAGATTAAAAAAAATTGAAAAACATGTTTTTGCAAGTAATTAGAGATATTTCATCTCTGATTCATCTTTTTTTCATAAAATCTGCTTGAAAATTTTAATTCAAACTTGGTCAGTTGATTTTAAAAGAGAGGTTTGCTTATAAGGCATATTTTACGCACCTGTGGTAAATTTCTACGTAGTAAGGGAAACAAAAAACTCGAAGAAAAATTATTTTGAAAGGTTTTTGAGCTTTTTTCACAATTTTAAATCTCAGAGATAATTACCGAAGAATTTTTATTTTTGCTTGGTTTAATGACTTTGAAATCTCACCATGAGTTAAACTGTGAGTTTATTAAAATCTCCGTAAAAGTAGTTTTTTTTTCAGATCGCATAATAACTTTCAAACTATGAATAAAAATAATCAAGGATTTTTTTCTTACAGTCTTGTTGCAATATCTTTGCAAGATTCCTGTAAGACTTGCCTAGCTTCACTAGAGCCTTTGCTAGATTTGTTTTCCGAAATGTAACTCGTTCAAAAGGTAATTATTGTCATAACATGAACACAACCACTCAATTGCTATCTGATTACCCAGGATTAGTAAGCAACAAAATGCAAGCACGCTTCGTGGAAATCCAACGAAAAGTGTTTGCAGCATTCTTAACACATATTTCGTGATGATTAAATGATAAAAACAAAATCAAAAATTTCAAGCCGTTTATTTTCGACACTTGTTTTAATGTGGTTTGAATCACGACTGAAACGGCTTTAATATGATATATCACTCAACGCAGTTAGATGATTATCTGTGGTCAAGAAACAAACAACTTTTTACCAAAATTTTTTTTGAAAATGACGGAAAACAAAACAGAAATGCGTTTTTAATACTTTGAGAGATTTATCGGGTAAAATCTAAAATTTTGTTCCTTTGAGCCATGGAGAAATTGAAAGTTTTAATGAATTTTCTGCTACTACAGGACATCAATTGGCTGTGAAGATTGAATCATCTTAAAAAACCCACCGGAAACGACTTCTAGTGTTTGTTTTCTGAAAACAAGTGAACAAAAATCTCCTCCATTTTCCGTAACTTTCATACAGAAAACCGTTGTGATTTCTTCGGTTGAATAGTTTTTCTTACGCAAGATAGAAATGGCAACAGTTTTTTCTCTGACAAAAATAATAAATGAATGTTTAGAACAAAATGCTTTCCAGGCTTTTTCAGGTTAGCCGTAGTAATACCAATTCATAAAAGTTGAACAAAGAAAGATCCAGATACCTATAGACCAATATGTCTTATGACAGTTTTCAGCAAAATGTTTGGAAAACTACTCCATTAAAGCTTTATTGATTTCTTAGATTAACATAGTGTTTTGACTCGAATCTAAATTGGATTCAGAACTAAGCTGTTCACAAAAGATGCTTTCGTAAACTTCATGGAAGACATCAGAAGTGATTGGGAATCGAACCCCATTGTAACACATGCAGTTTTCTAAGATCTCAAAAAAGGGTTTGATACTGTTTCACTCCATACATTACTACAGAAAGCTGAAAATGCAGTTACGAGGTTCGTTTCAGGCATTGTTGAAATTATATTCGAAAATTAGATCACAAGTAGTCGAAATGGGCTCCATAGGATCAGTCCTCGGGCCACTATTTTTCCTTTTAAAGATGAATGATTCAACAACAAAAAACTGACTGAGCAATATTTATACGCTGATGATACAACAGTGAAACAAAAACAAAATAACTTACAACCTTACATTGAGGATTTTTCAGAAATAGAAAAGGATTGATAACCAATAAGCTAACTCTGAAACTTGACAAAAAACAGAAAAACTAATAGGAAAATAATCATAGGAGTAAAAAGGAAAAAAAAATAGGAAGCACTGAAGTAAAAAAACGCTGCAATACTAAATATTTGGGCTTTCGCTTGGAAGCTAATTTAAACCTTAAATTTCATATTGAGTTTCTCGTCAAAAAAATGAATTATTTTTTGTGGGTTGTTCTACCGACTACGCGACGTATAAACAACAACCTAACCAATTAAACCTTATTTCAGTCACTTTCAGCAGCTACTGCAAAATGCAGTTATAGTGTACGGCAGATCAAAAAATATCACTCCTAAAATTAAGTGAAACTAAACCAAACTCTGAGACTATTTTAAGAAAACGGAGACATCAGTCTGTAACATATATCAAAAACTTACAGGATTTGCTCAGAAAAAAAACATGCACAAAAACGAGCTATTCAAAATTTTAGTTATGCTTCTACGTAATATTTGACAACTGAATTCCTAAAAACTGGTTTTTGGACACAGAAATTGAGACTATGAAAATTTCCTTTAGTAAAAGTCTTAAAAAATTATGTGTACGAGATAAAAAAAAACAATTTTTCGCAGATTTTGCTATTACAGCCAGCAAATTATTGTGTTCGAGTAAAATTTGTTTCCATTATTTTTAAAATTTATTTATCACAAATAGAAAAGAAATGATAATTTTTTGCTCCTAAAATGAGGTTTTGGAGTGGGACAACTAATATTACATCACAGATGAATTTTAACAGTACTTCTTAGAAATTGTACTGCGTAATTAGGGCATCACTTGACTTGGCGTATGATAGCAAAATTTTATTCCTTATTGTACCTGATTTAGCGTGGAAAACAGAAAAAAGATTTTAAAAAAATTAAAACACACCCGAATACAAAATTCCTCGAAAAAAAAAACAATTTTGGATTAGGCTGTAGTTTTTTTTCTTGCTTTGATTTCAACCCAAATTGTTTGTCCTGTAATCCCAACTCCCGGTTTAAGTTTTCAATTGTCTTTATCAACCAGTGCGCCTAATTCTGCTTATCTTTCAACTGGTGGCAAAATTTTGTATTTGAATATGCAAGGTTCTGAAAGTTTGGAGATTTCAAATAAGTAAGTCCTCAAATGATTATCGGTCGCCTTTACAAAACAGAGCACTAATGCAAAGCTTTAAATTAAAAAACGAGCTTTTACAGCTTAATACTTTGATCAGCAAGTTAGTCACTAAAGATTTTTTTCAGTTATAAAAAAATTGGCTTTGGGATCCTTTGTTATGAGAAAAAAGTGTTTTCAAGAACAGCTAGATCATTTCTCAAACCTGTGTGATAATAAAAACGGGGAAAATATTCAGCTACGACTTAAACATATAAGCTCCTCGTATCAGGGCAAAACCCTGACTAATCTGTCTGCTCTCAAACTGTTTTTGGCAAAAAATTATCAGTAAACTTTTAATTTTTTGCTTTGTTTCTTTTTCAACCATAACATCTAAAAAACAAATATAACAAGTGATCATTATTTATGTAATCATCATGACAAGTTAGCTTGTCTCAAATCTATGTGATTTGATTTTCCTTGCAGGGTAATTTGTCACCCTTCAAAAATTCACGCTTTCGCTTTAACCAAATTAGGTAAACTTTTAAAAGCGCTCATCAATTAGTTCAAGACGTATCCACAAACTGCAAATTTTCCGACACCCTTCACCATATTGTTTCAAAAAGAATTGAGCTAATCGGTCGTATTATTTTTTCACGACTCAAAAGTTCAGACTTTGACATTGAAAACAATTTATAGCTTTTCAATGTTTTCTTTTCCCAAAATCTATTCGATATGAATCAAGGGACAGTCGGAACATTCAGGGCTTTGCCCTGATATACGAGCAGTCTTGTTTCGGGTTAACCACTAGTTTACCAAAATCAGTTGAATCACTTGCAGCTGCGACATACAGTTGAATCACAGCTGACATACAGTTGAATCACTTGAAGGTGGGCACTAGTTACTAAAGGGTACCCTAGTTGACGAAAATGACCGATCTTATAAAAAAATAAGAGGGAAAATTAGAGCTTAAGAATATTCCATAATCATAGTAAAATAAGTAAAATGGAAAACAATTTTTGACTAGAAAAACAATAAAACCAAAAAAAACTGTAAAAACTTTTTAAATTTTTTTTTGCCATTTTTTGGATTTTTGACATTTTTGTTTTAAAAAAGGCACTAAAATACTCAAAAAACTTAAGTTGAGTTGAATTAAGTTTTAATCGCTTAGATTTAGCAATTGTAGGCTTATAAGCTGTTAACGTAAACTATATTAAGCGTGCTCGCTCACTCGAAATTAGACGAAAAATCAAAAATTTCAAACCGGGTTATCTCATTACTGGGAAAGTTTTTCGAAAATTTTTAAAATTTCGTTCGAATCATGGCTGAAAGGGCTTTCAATTCAAATATCACTCAACTCTCTCCGAAGATTTTTTTGTGGCAGCTGATTTTATGTTGAACACAAAAAAATTAAAACTAAAATACACCCGAGTACAAAGTCCCTCTCCATTTTTCAAATGGTCGGAACAATAAATTATAGGCATGAATTATAGGCATGAGTATAGTTAATAAAAAATTATTGGAATGAGTTACCTTTCAAACTGCGTATGAGGTGGTTAATGATAACATTTCCATAAAAAGGCTTGTTTTTGTGTGAGTGATGGTTACAGTGACAGATCTAGAGTTTTTTTAAAGGGAAGGGGTCAATTTTTATTAAGTTTTCAGAAAATTTGCCGATTTATTTAGTGAAAAGAGTAATGGCATAAGGATATCATTCAAAGTTCCAAAAAAATTTGTTTTTTGAATAATTTGACCAAAAAATAAAATCGCGTTTTCTGAAAATCCCCCACATCTTACTCTTGTGCTTTTTGACAGTCGTTTTTGTTCAATAAAATGACAAAACACAGATAGCCGGGTTTTTAAGATCACGCTTCTGTTATTTTCAGACACAAAAGCACTTGCGATGAATCCACGATATTGTCCATATAGATGATATTCGGCTTCAAGCAAGAATCATTTGCTAGATTTTTTCCGTACAAGTCTGTCCAGAGTTTTCGATTTGCCTCGTTCGCCAATTCCAGAATAGTTTCGACGGGTATTCGAATTCCATCTATTACACACTCCCATGCACTTAAAGTGAGTGTCCAAGACAGCAGAAAGTATTTCTGACTGTTTGCTTTCAGTTTTTCAAACTGATCATTCATCATTTGGTTGAAATCGTTCGTGTCTGCATACTTGTCGAATCGTTTCAGACACTCGAACTTGAAGAAACAGTCATCGAACTCAATTCCGCTGTAGTATTCGGCCTCGATTACAATCATAACCTTTGAACCTTTGCCAATAAGGTCAATCATGGTTACATTTGTCAATTCGACGTCTTGTTTTGAATTACGGTACAAGTTACGAATTCCTGTTTGTTCGTCTTTCAACATAGACAGTAATTGATTCCATTCCGAAGAAACGAAAGGTCGATAGCTCATGTTTCCAACATCCGTATTGAGATCGTGGGAGAGATTTAAAATAATGAGCTCGCCTTTTGCATCTGAAGTGAATTGGTTCACGTCGCTTATGATCTCTGCCATTGACTGGCCTCTACTACCTTGCCACGATAGATCAGCAGCCTTAGTATAATGACCAGTGTGATACTCCCCTCCCCCTATGATGGGCCGGATGTCAAAGAAACGCACTCCTAATTCCAACTGTTTGTTGACGGAGTTGGTGTGGTTTTGAGTGTTGGCACAATTAGACATTGTAGTTCCGGCAACGCATTTGCTCATTCCAGAATCATGAGAGCCTGGAATGCAAATCTGCCCCAGAGTTTTTCCTCCTATAAGAGATATATTGTCTGCCATCCAGTTCTTCTGCGAGTGTAAATTCGTAAGGTAATTCTTCCCGTCATAAAACATCGCAAAACTGAAAGTCCCTTGCCACTGATCAAATCGACAGTTTTGTCGTTGGTGTTTTGCGTCGGGAAATTCACGACTGCGAATATTGTTTTGCTTTCCAACGAGCCACAAATTTCAATTTTTCTTCTTTCACCTTTTTCATCGACAAAATTGTAGGTTGTAATTGGGTTACAGAGTGGTTTCTGACTTAACACTTCAATTGAATCGACGTTAATTCCATGTTCAGTTACAGAATCGGAAGGAAATTGAATTGGTTCACTCTTGGTGACTGAGAAAGGCTCTACTGCTTCGGGAAGTTCCCAGCACGACAACAAACCCGGTTCGTTTGATGCTCGCTCCCATTTGTAGGGAGTAAAGTTAGCAAATGAAAGCTGCAACGACACCTTTTGACCCATAGCTCACTAAGCATTTGTAAAAACTGTAATCTCTAAAGTCAGTATCGTGGCGGAAGGGGGGGGGTGGAAGCTTTTCAATTCTGTTTGCTAAATATTTCAAAAGGGTTTTCTTGTTGGGATTTTTGCTGTTTTACGACACCATATTTTGGTTGATCAACTCCAAAATATTTATAGAGACCCCAGTGGCGCCAATATACATTAAATTTGAGGTGGGAGCACTCCAAAAAACACAATTTTTGAAACAAGATTTTTGAAAAAAAAAATGAAAAACGTCATGAAGTTTTCCTAGTTATCCTCCCGTTCACTTCCCCTAGAAAAAATACTGAGCACGCCATTGACTAGGTTTATGACACTTATTTGGTGACTTTTATCTGAAAAAATGATGCACTAATAAGATCTAATTCTAAGGCAAGTTGAAATATTTTTGTTGAAATTAACCAAAGACTTGTATGATTGTCACAAAATAACAAATACTACTGTAAAGCTTATTACAAAATTAACAAGAATGATCGTATATCAGGGCAGAGCCCTGAATGTTGCAAATGAACTTAAGGCCAATTGATTTTATTTTTTTGGTCGAATAATTGACAAAATAATTGAGTTAAAGTAAGAGGAATTTTTTTCATTTGTTCTTTTTTATCCCCCCATACACTATGTAAAATACTACGGGTGTGTTTAGCGTCTCGTAATGTGATAATAGGCTTAAATTGCTGGACTCAATTGAAGTTGGAACGCAATAATTCGCTTCTAATACATGTCATTAGTACGCAATAAATCGCACTTTAATTATCCCAAACTCGCCAATTTAGCAATTTTCAAACGCCCGTAACTTTACAAAAAAATGATCACAGGTAGTTTTTTTTAATTTTGAGGTTATGTTAACAAAAGTTATCAGATGATATCAAAAAAAGTTATCCAAAATATACGAACAAATACACTTGGTAATACGTCAAAAACGTTTAGCAAGTCGAGTTACGTCTCAAGATTAAAGATAAACCAGCAGTAAAAACTTGAAAAAAATGATTGTAATAGAAAAAATTAGTTTTTCTTATTCGAGATTTTTTGTGTAAACCTCCCCCCACACGCCATATAAAGTACAAAGTGATCGACTTCGCTCTTAGTAACAAATCATTTATGGCAAATAGGCTTACTTCAACCAATTTGGATTGATTTCTAAGACGGATCAAATCTTCGCTTACGCGTTAATAGCGTAAAATGTATCGCGTTAATTGCCCCAATTTGACGCGAACGGCAATTTTTAAATCCCCATAACTTTATGACAAATAATCAAAAATACTCAAGTTTTTTTACTAAAATTTGTGTACTAAAATACTAAATCTCCAAAAACACTCGAGAGAAAATCTTAGGACCAACCCTAGTTGAAACGATCATTTAAAAAATTTAGAAAAACAAATCATCACTTTTGAGATCTTAATACAATAGATACCAAAACTTTTTGGAATTAATCTGGTAAGTGGTATTTGCTTTTTGTTTTGCCCTCGGTGTTTGGGGAGGGGAATTTGGTGGGGGAGGCGGTCTTTTTGAGGCGGTAGAATAAATCTGGGTGATCTTGTCTCAATGATCCTTTTCTGGGTGATCTTTCTTCGTGATTTTGGCCAGCAGCTCTTCAAACTTTTCCGCAACACAGATGTTAACTGATTTTGAGGGACAAGCGAGAAACGAAATATAATAAAATAAAGCAAACGTTTGCCATAAGATTTATTAAAAGAGCCCAGAGAGAAAAATCGTGTGGCGAAGAAAACTTTTGAAAAGTTACATCTATGTGGAGTTTCTGCTGAGCTTAAAAACCATATCCGAATAAAAGTGAACCCAAAAGTGATGATATTCACTGGCCGTACTCAGCTGAGGCCTGTTTGATTTCAATAGAAATGGCTGCACAAAAACTCCTATTGTTTATATAATTGAATAATTAGAACATAATTCTAGGGGATATTCTGATGCGCGAAAACTTTCAACCAAACAACGCCCTTTAAAATGTCTAATACTGACTGAATGTTTTGATTATTTCTTTCGATTTTTTAATGCTGAGCTCTGATTGGCTGACCAAAGCTTCGCGCCTTCGGTCCTCCGCATTCGCGGGATGTCCCCCTCAAACACGTTACGAAAATTTACCGATCTTGAAGAAATCTTTTAAGATGCTGCAGTTAAAGTTAAAACTGTCCGTCGTGAAAAGTAGTTTGGAAATACCAATTTTGAAATCTTAAAACAATTTAGTTAACCTAAAGCCGTAGAATAACTTTGATTTGACATCAGTTAAAGAAGATATAACTGATAAAAGAAGACCTATCTTTGATAATAAACCGACACTTTGAATCCGTTTTGCATAAGTTTCGCCCTTGTGACTACAAATTTGAAGATTTGTCGCAAAATATCAGCAAACTTTTAACTTTGAAATCATATTAATTTAAGAAATCTAAGTCTCATGCTAAAAAATAAAAGCTACTTCAGAAAGACGAAACATGCTCACAACAAAACCAACAATATCTCACCACTTTGATATCAAGACTTTATTTAAAGAACACACAGAATCCCAAATGATCAAGGTTTATTTATAAAAAGAGTAACCAGCTGCTGTGCAAGTTGTGAACTACGGTAAAAAACGGGGAAAAATAAGAAAATTAAATAAGAAAATGTTTTATAATTACTATATCTTGTTTCAAATTTTTGGTCTTTTTCTTGGGAGCCAGGAGTGAAGTGTAAGTTCCAAAAATAGAGAACATTTTCTGATAAAACATGTTCAGAACGGTCGCAAACTTGAGTTGGGAGTAAAAGAGCGATAGAGTAATCAAAAATTAGTTAAGACTATCAAAAATACATTGAGACTAGATTTTTTTGCAACCTAACTCTTTGAGAGACTGTTTTAAAATTCGAAATACGACTGGTGGGGTTGAACTGACATCATTTCATCGAAACCGACTGATTTTGGAGAAACCCGATTTTACTCAGAAAAGATATACCCTATGCAAAATCTCCTTTCTCCTTTGGAATCACAAAAAAAAATACAAAGAAACTTCTAATGGCTGAAGAAGGAAATCAGGTAAGATAACTACTCAATCGTTTATAATCTCTTTGATGAAAAAGGTTTTGAAATATGCATGTGGCTATTTTTTCCTATTTTTTGTTGTTAAATTTCAAAGATTCGGTTTCAATTTTTTGAAGCATTTCGGCTATCTGGAACCTGATCTAAACTACATTTTATGATTGGATAAATTAGATATTTTACCACTGTAAAGTATTTAATATTAACCAATCATGATCCATCTAACTAACAACCCACTTATTTGTAAGTGCTGAAATTACTTGTAATTTCAGCACCAGAGAGATTTGAATTTAACTTAGAAATTAGTTGACTCTCCAAGAAGACTTCAGCAACCGCAATAAACCAGTATACCCTAGATCTATTGAGCCTAGCAGAGACTAGTTAAACAACCTGAGACTAGATAGTATAAGAGTAAGATTAGGATTGGTATTAGACTAAGAAGTTGCACGAATCTATCCGGCCGAAAATAAGATAGCGTGACGAGCAGACGGTGTACCCTATCCGAAATTACTCTATGAGTTATACACTTCGGTCCTAACTCATCTGGTGCGACCATAAGTCTCGAAAAAGACCTTAATAGCTTAGAATTAACCAAAAATAGATTAGAATTTAGACAAAACATTTTTAAAATGTTACACGACGATAATTTAATCGAAATGTCTCTACGACTCAATAGATCAAAGCCAATATTCCGAACGATAAGAGAACTACCCGGAATTGCAAGAAGACCTCGAACCAGAGACGACATACGACAAAGTAGAAACTTACCATATAGTTATATGATAGTTCGGCAAAAGCCAACACAAACTTTTGTATTTAGAATACTACTAGCAATGAATTTAGATTTTCATTTGCAAACATAAAATCTTGAAGTCAATCTTCAAAATCATTTCAGGCGCTAAACCAAATTATTAATATACAATAACGATTGATAAGGAGATCTCAGATCGTTTTCCTAAATTCTGCAGTAATATACAAAACATGTTTGAAAAATATTTATTGAAAAATCAAAAAAAAAATTAGTAGCATGACAATAAATGGTTAGTAATTATAAATCATCCTGTTGTTCCAGCTTCATCACCTAAACATAACAGCATTCATAAGCTCACTAATACCATAAAAACACTAAATCTTTTCTCTACACAAATTTAAATCATTTTAAACTTAAATTCACTTAAATTTAAAATCAGATCATCAAGGCTCATCCTTGGATCTTAAATCATTTTCTAATTATTAAATTTAAAACTTGATCATCAAGGCCTCTCCTTGGATCAAAAAGAACAATTTTGTTCTCCCCCACCCACTTAGCTAGTGTCTAACGACCTCAAACGTCGATTCACTATCCAACCCTTTCAAAAAAAAAAAACCCAGGACTAACAGAAATTTTTGAACAAAACTAATCATTCAAATTAGGATAAACAGTGAAGAACTTCGTTTATTCATCCTTCACTTGATCCCCCCTCTTACCAGACCCAGGATAAATCTTAGACTTAGTAAGTTTAAAATAGTACCTAACGAACTACTCGCGTTCTAATTATACCTGA